GACCTATACAATGTTTTTCTTTTTGATTTTTTACCTGGATTACTGAGATGCATCAGGATATTTTATGACAGTAAGAAGAAATAATAAATATACTTTATTACTAGCTGAAGTCATCATTTTTCAACTAGCTAAAGTCTAAGTTACAGGCTGACTTCAGGTCTGGTTTAGATCATTGTTACTTATAATTATTTATTTTTCTGGTATAAATCTGCTGTTTTACACGATTGTTGAATGAAATTAACATAATTATTAATTTATTGTAAAAACATGACAGATAATGTGTGAAACAGATTCAGTTCAGCTTGATGTTTATCTATTAGTTTCTATGAAGGCTGTGAGCTGTTGACATTTTAGACGCCATTTCTGCTCCTCCATGCTGTCACAGACTAACAGTGTACGGAATGGGCGGGGCTTAGTCTAGTCATATTTAAGTCTATGAGCGAACCCAAGATTCTCGCCACCTAGTGGCACAGTAAGTATATTTTAGCATTTTTTTTAGAATGTGTGAAGAAAAAACACAGAAAAAAGAAATCCTTTAAAAATAACTGGAGTAATGCAGACATCCTGAGTGAATTTAATTTCAGATTTTGTAATTATTTTTTGACAAATTTACTTTATCAGATAAGTTTTTATCTTTCATAAATTGACGAACATTAAACCCAGATATGTTCTGTAGCAACACTTAACCGCTAATATTAGTATTATTACGTTTTTATTTTTAGATAAGCCTCACTTCAAATACTGTTATTTATGTCCCTTTACAGCAGGGTTATTCAACTAAATTGCTCAGGGGGCCACAGTTAATGCAGACAAACAGCTCAGGGGCCGAACCCAGCAATTAAAGTTATGTAAATAAACTAAGTATTGCAATGATCTGTTACCTTTGAAATAGTTTATTTTGCTGTATTTAATCATGAAAACATACAGAACCCTATTTAATAAATGTAGTGATGATAAAACAAAAAAAAGAAACATTATGCATCTTATTTACCACAAAATATTTTGACATCTGACTTGCCAAATTTTAAACCAATTTTATTTTCACTTTCATAGTTTTATCTTCAACGGCTTGTAGTATTAATTGTCTTGGATGTTCATAGAAATGGTTTTTACCAGCTTGTAGCCAAGATTCTGACGTTTAGACACCAAACATGTGTATGTTTAACTAAAATAACTTAGAATAATTAAAGTAGAAAACCGGGGGTTTGGGCTTAAGAGATGAGTGAACCAATTGGCGGGCCGAACTTTGGGCACTCGCGGGCCACATCCGGCCCGTGGGCCGTCAGTTGAATAGCCCTGCTTTACAGGATCGTGACTGAGTGGTTAATGACCTTCTGGGTGTCTGCGTGCTGGCTAAACTCTGTAGCTTCTTGGTTGACTGAATATCTTCAGTGTAACAAAGGCAAACAGGTAGAAATGCTCAACGACATGTTGGAATTTAATCTTTGAAAGCAACTGTTCATGTTTAAACAGCAAACATGTGGATTATCATAATCTGGGAAAGACTACTGCAAGAAAAATGTGATCAATAAATGAATTCAAGCTGAATTAAATTGAAGAAAACCAGTTGATTCTCTTCTAAAAACTTTATTGCCGACCTCTGCCTTCAATCAGGCTAACATCAGTCAGCAGGCCTCCGAGTGGAAAGGCCTTGAGTCTTATCAGAACAGCAAAACAACGCTTCCCTACAGCTGGTGTCTGTGGCAGGCTGAATCTAAGAGCAGACTGCAAACTTAATAACTACAGGAATAATGATGAATCAACTTCTTATCGTATATCTCTCACTTCCTGGTCACCCCCCTGGAGGCGGTACCTTTTACATCAGGATGTAACCAAGTTTTGTTTATGCAGACAGGAAGGCCTCATATTGATAAGACACACTGACTCTCAGTCTCTGTTTAAAACTTTCGGCTGCAACGATCAGAAAGTGAAAAATACAAAACTGGATTAACATTCCGTTAATCAGTCACAAGATTTCCTTCACTCTAGAGGGATTAGATGTTCTTGTCTTTTGTTTTGCTAATAACATAGATTTTTTTTGTTATTTGAACTTATTCTTGGGGAAAAAAAGGGGCAGATATTATAAGGTTTTTTTTCTCTCTGCTGCCTTTCATTTCATTTTATTTGTGATTTTTAATATACATATATATTTTTTCTCATTTTTTTCTTTTTATTGTATATTGTATATAAAATTTGTTTTGCTTTAATGAAATGAATAAACACTAAAAAAATCAAAAAAAATCACTACAATTATTTAAGTCAGAATTTCAATTTAAGTAAATACAACCTGAAAAAAAAGTCACATATTAATTCTGATATGTTTGTAACATGAATAAATACAAACAGATCAAGTGTTTGAGTCTGAGTGTGCAGCTGTCTGCAAGACACCTCTTTAAAGTCTAGAAATGGTTTTAGCAGCTTCCTTTGTTTATTGACTAGATAGTGAGACAAAAATAATGAGTTACCCTGTAAATATCTAAACAACTCTGACTTAAAGATGCTAAATATTTTTTTTTCTACCAGATGTATTACCTGTCTGACAGTGAAAGGGTCCTCAGAGGAAGAAGTAAAGCTTTTTACTCAGATGCAGCACTAACGTACCGTTCTTTTGGCTCGGGCTCTGCAGGTGAATGTCAGCATGGACTGAAACCTCTCTGCTCTTCACTCCGCTGAGAAACGTGTCCGGAAGGTTTGTGAAGTCTGCTCAAACAAACAGAGAGAGGTCGTTGTTCCCGTTGCTCAGGTAAATATTAAATCAATTAAAGCTGTTAGTTTCTATGAGAGAGAACGTTTGGAGAAAGTTTTGTCTGCAGCTTCACACTAATGTTCTCCTGTTTAGTTTCTTTTGTACAAACACTGCTTAATTTGTGCTAAATAAATTATGCTATTTTACTATTCTTTTAATAATAGTGCGCTTTGGCTTTTGTTTTGTGTAATTTTATAAGTTTCATAATATTTTACTTTATTTACAAATATTTCCATCATTTATTACATTAAATATCTTCACAATACTTTGGTTAAACTATCTTAAGTTATTTGCAGCTTTTAGTTACTGATTTTCTAAGTTTAGCTTTTTGCTACAATTTTTCAGCACTGATCTTTGAGCTATTATTTTGGTAGTTTTAGCTTTTAGCTAGTCCATTACAAATTTTAGCTTTTAACTACCGTTTTACTGGTTTTATGCCACATTCCAGTTGTCCTCGGAGGTTGTAGCTTCGAGCCTCCGAGGTCTATTTTTCAACTGGAACGCCCCCTGAAGTCGTAGTTTCGAGTCGAGAGTTCGGCGCATCCAAACCATTCCCGAGCAGCCCGAGCATGCGTTACGTCATCATTTCAACATGGCTGCTGCGCGCACGTATCTCTAAGCTAACGGCTAATGTTGACCTGTAATGAAACGTACACAAGCACCATCCCCATTATTTAACAGACAGAAAGTAAGAAGGGAGAAGGCAGAATAAAAACGAGTGTAATTTGTTTGCTTATTTTCCCTTTTTACATTTGTTTAATGTATGTAGCGTACCAGATGCTTGTCCGAGCTAACCGCTAACGTTGCTAGTCTTGTATGTAAACAAACGCGGGTTTGTTCTGTGTTGTTTATTTTACATTACGTCATACGTACTTCTAGTGCTTCATAGTGATAGTTAAAATATATGTTTTAACACTGTTTGTACACTCAAAATACCTCGTAGAGCACTATTATTGTACGTTTTATTGTTGCAGAGTAAAATAATAGAAACGCTTTTCCCGATGTTTGAAACTTGAACGCTTTCAGCTCAGAACTGTTGTCAGTCCGGCTTCAGAATTTCGAGTTCCGATACAACTGCAACGCAGCATTATCACGTTGCACCTGTTTTGCTAATTGTAGCTTTTAGCTTTTAAATGCTGTTTTAAGTTACTGTTTAAGTTTTTATTCATGTCAAACTTTAGCTACAATTTAATAATTTTAGCCATTAGCTATTACACTCCTAGTGTTTTACTTGTTTTATCTTTAAGTTTGACTAGTTTGTTTTTTATTTATGTATTTACTGTTTTGCATGTTTTGGCTTTTCCACGTTCTGCTCAGTTTAGTTTGTGTTCTGGTCAGTTAAACTTGCTTTTTTGATTATTCGAGTGTCTCTTTCGTTGATTCAGCTTTTGTTCTGCCCTTTTTAACTTTAACAACTCTGTTTTAGCGTCTTCAGCAACTCTACGTCGTTTACCACTGAGCATTTTTGACAGAACACCTTATTTTTGTTGTTTCAAGTCACTGTTTTTTTGCCACCTGTAGCTTTCCAGGATCAAATGTTGCTTGTATTTTTGAACAAACACTGTGACATCAGATACAGTTAAAACTGCACCACTGTTGTACAAAGTGTCTCCAACAAGTTGAGATGAATCTTTTTTTTTTTTTTTGGAAGAAAACCGAACACACCGGTCATTTTGTCATAATCTGGAGTCTGAGACCCGGAGCTGCTGCTCTCCATCATGTCCTGTCGCCTCTGCTGCACGACTCCATCCAGGTAGGAGAAGTCTCCAGAAAAGTCCTGCGGCACACACGCATGAATGGTTACCACAAACAGAACGGGTGTTGAATTACAGGAGAACAATGCACTGCTTCGCTTTTCATCCCAGTGAATACATCCCGAACAAAACAATCCTGGAAACAGAAGAAGGGACCCCTGACTGACCAGAGGAAGCGACGACGGGCAGCTGGTTCTGAAGCTGTGCTCACAGGAGGAAGTTACAGGGCTGCTGCTGATCTTATCCACCTGCAGCAACAACAACAACATATCCAGTTTCATTCCAACTATAAAAACTAGCCATGTTTTAAATGTGATATGTTTTGCTCTACTGCAGACTAAGAACGGGGGGGGGGGGGGGGGGGGGCATTTCTTTACACGTGGTTGAAAGGATGTATATATTTCACCTACTAAGATGTCGACTTTATTTGTTTTCTAGCAGCTTCAGATCAGCAAACCTGAACCCTAAAAGTTACAGCTCACTTTTTAATGAGGGAAATAATTAACTCTTTAGCAGCTAAATGCTAAAGTAATTTTAAACAGACAATAGAAGCAAAGACAGAACAAGAGGCTGCTGATGTCCCTCGACTTGAATAGTGAATATTTACAGTCTTTAAGATGAGTGTTTTCTGGACTGGAGTTGAACACAATGCAAGTAAAACAAAGTTTTACTGCCAGATATTCACGTGGGTAGGAGTTAAACTGTGTATAAGAAGAGAGGCAGGGTTATTTTTGTTTTCTTGTCTGAAGCAGAGCAGAGCGACAGATGCTGATGAGCAGAGGGAGTAACTTTATCCACCAGCAGATACAGAGGTGGGGGCAGTGGGTGGCCAGTGGTGGCCCTGCTCATTACACATTTAATTTTCGATCACCCCAATAATTTAATGAAACCATACATTGAAGCAATATAAAAACAGTTTATCCTAAATGGTAATAATGCTATCATGTGTCAAACAAAAGTTTAACTCCAAAATAACAGGTATATTTTTGTTGCTAAGTAAAAAAGGGAGTGATGATTCAAATAATTTGGTCCAGACTATGTAAATTAAAAGTTAAGATAACTAACATCTCTCAATGGGCTTTAATAAACTCCTGGTGAAATGTTCAGCATTTCTGCGCTCACAGATGACCTTTTTCTACATCACCTCTTGCTTCCACCACTGTTCTCAGGGGTCACCAGGATTTTTTTTCACTCAGTGGGTTTGAAACAAACAGGCAGATATTAAGGCTTCTATGTTTTAACTTAACTAGACATCCTTGCTTTGCTTTGATGCAGAGTGCTTTATTTGGCCTCTTTCTCTACATTTCTGGTGTGGCAGTTAGCAAAAACCTCACATATACAGTATACAGCAGGTAAAATAAGTATTGAACACGTTACCATTTTTCTCAGTAAATATATTACTAGAGGTGCTAATGACATGAAATTTTCACCAGATGTTGGT